CCATGGCAGGCAGGTAGCGGGGAGCACATCAGCCCTCTTTAATACCCTAGGGCAGGTGTAGCACTCATACCCTTATCCCAGCCAGAACTATGCCAGGCCAGTCAGAGGACTGACTTAGTAATCACACTCTGTCAATCCCAGCACCACACACTCGCCCCACCTATGACTACGTGAGGCTTTGGGGGACATCTAGGCACAAGCCAGAACACGCTTGCTTCTTTTCTTTCTTTCCCTCCTTCCCCCTTCCCGCCTTCCCTCTTTCCTTCCTTCCCTTCCTCCCTCCCTCCTTCCTTCCTTTCCTATATAGTAGGGAGCCTTCACATTGAGCTACATCCCCAGCCCTTTTAAAATTTTTTATTTTAAGACAGGATCTTGCTAAATCTCTAAGTTGCCCAGGCTGGGCTTGAACTTGCAATCCTCCTGTCTCAGCCTCCCAGAGTGCTAGAATTATAGGCCTGCACTACCACCAGGCCTGGCTAAGTACTTCAATTTTACAAAGCCAGTATTAGTTTTCGTTGGTTGCTATTGGCTTTCAGCAACACCGACTTCGCGTCCATCAGATGTGCAGGGCAGTGGTGTGACAAGGGACTCGGTGGACTAGGTCAGGGGCTGCTTCCCTCGTGGGAGCCGCAGCTGATTTCCCAGCCCTGCAGGTCTCCAGCTCCTTGGCCCACAGCCCCAGCCCCACGTACGAAGCCAGGGAAGTGGGACCGGCTCTTTGCCACTGCCGCCGGCTTTTCTTCTGCTGCCTCCCTCCAGCTTGGAAGCCCCATGTGATCTCCTGTGGGGCAGAATCAGGGCCCACGGTAGGCCGGCCCTGGTGTCACCCTGCACCCGCCCCGCCCCACCGCTCCTGTCCCCACCCTCATCGCGCCATCCCCGCTGTTACACGCGTGCTTTTGCTCTGTGACATTCGGTTGTTTTTTTTTCACCCCGCCAACTGTCCTTGAAATTCCCGTGTCCTTGTAGGAGCCGAGAGCACTTCTTCGGCTAGTCAGAGCAGTGTCGGTGCTCCAGTTTGCTCACGCACTCTCCGCAGGAGGACACAAAGAACATCTCTCCTTTGGGGCCACTCAAAATAGAGGCGATAGCCAGGCATGGCAGCAAACGCCTGTCATCCCAGCGCTCAGGAGGCTGAGGCAGAGGCATGGAAGTGAGTTCGAGGCCAACCTTGGCTACAAGTAAGTTCAGGGCCATCCTGAACTACAAAGCAAGACCTTGTCACAAAACGTAACACAAAACAGAGATGCTAAGCGTGGTGGCAACTGCCTGTCATTCGAGCACTCTGGAAGGCTGAAGCAGAACTGCAAGTTCAAACACAGTCTGGGCAACTTAGTGATTGAGCAAGACCCTGTCTCAAAATAAAAATTAAAAGAACAATAACTGGGATGTAGCTTGGTGAGAAGGCTCTGGTTCCACCCCCAGTTCTGCAAACACAACAGAGGTGCTAACAGCCTTGGTACAGGCTGCCACAGGAAGCGGGTATGGAGAAAGCTCATGCAGCTTTGATCTATGTTTCCTAACCCATAGCCTTTTTTCCTGTGTGGACGGCTGAGTGGACTCTTCTTTGGAGAAATGGGACACTCCAGTGCTTTGTCAATTGTTTTGAAGCACCTTTTTTTTTTTTTTTTTTTTTTTTTTGGTTTTCTCTGGTACCAGGAATCGAACTCACGACCTTGCGCTTGCCAGGCAGGCACTGTGCCGCTGAGCTAAATTCCCAGCCCCTGAAGCACCTTGTTGTTGAGTTGTAGGAGCGCTATATATATTTTGCCTGCTAAACTTTTTTCCCAATACTTGGGATTGAGGCTAGGGCCTTCACACTGAACTACATCCCCAATCCTTTCTATTTTATGATTCAGTTTGGTGTGGTTTGGTTTGGTTGAGACAGGGTGTTGCTATGTAGTTCAGGCTGGTCTTCAAACTCACAGCAATCCTCCTGCCTCGGCTTCCTGAGTGTGCCCTCAACCCTTTTTAAAATTTTTTATTTTGAGACAGCATCTTGCGAGGTCTCTAAATTGCAAGTGGGCAAACCAGGACATCCACACGATGAGGTGTTCATGACAGAAGGAGCCAGTGATGCTCACCAGGGTTTAGGCGGCTCTTGAGGGATTCGTGCCGCCTGGAAGGAATCTGGCCTACAAGTTCACACACAACGCTGAGAACATTTGCACTGCTTCCATCTAGAAGGGGCATTACGGGTACAGCTGTTAGGGGCATTGCTGTACATGATTTTGGGTGAGAGTACGTCAACAACTTTCGGGGGTAGATATCCAAGAATACAGTTTCAGGATTGCAGAGTCATGGCACATTTACTTTTGTAAGAAACTGCTGGGCTCTTGTGCACGTCACATCCCCGTCAGGATCCTGTGAGGGCCCCGCTGCCTCTCCGCACACCGTGTTTCCAGCAGAGCTCTGTGGGCACTGTGCAGGTGGGGCAGGGGTGGGGAAACAATTTAAACAAACCCTGACCCTAGATCATGTGGCTTAAGCTGCCCAGGGCACAAGTACCCCAGTCTGCCCGCCGCACAGCCCGCCTCCCCCGGGCGCCCCACCTTCTGAACACGTGCGCCCCTTTGGTCTGCGCCCCTCACGCAAGCACACACCCTGACAACGGGAACTGGCCCGGGGCGAGCTGAAATCTCCATCTCCTCCTTGGGTGACCTCCTCGGACCCCGCCCAGTGACAGTGTAATAACTATAGTTGGTCTGTGTCCGCACGTCTCTGCACGAAGCTCTCAGACCTGCGGACTTCGCTGGGCCGCAGCAAGCCCGTGCCACGCCTGCTTACGAGCCACTGTCCTGTGGCCGAGCCACGATCCCCGGTGCCCACAATTTCAAGGAGAGTTTTATTTTGGCTCCTCTGGGGATTTCAGTCCATAGTCCAGGGGCCCCGGGCAGGGCGGCAGGGCAGAGCTGCTCCCCGCACTGCATCCGGGAAGCAGAGGGCGGAGGGCAGAGCAGGAGGGAAGGCCACGGTGACCGTCTTCTGACCGGACCCCTATGACAGCAAGCCAGAGTGCCCATCACCCCGTCACCTTCCCAAACCCCAGCTGTGAGCGAGTGAGGATTTGCGGGGCCGTCCAGACATCACCTTAACACCTGAGCTGATGCCAGTGTGGCGACTTAGCACACTAGATAGTCTCGGGTGAGCAGATCCCCACACCGAGCCGTGGGGGGGCTGGGCTTTCAGGGGCCCCTGCTCCCACCCCCCAAACGGTGCTGCCTGCCCAGGCAGGGCTCACCGACGTCGCCCCAGCACCACGGGTGCTGTTCCATCAGACTTCACTTGGGAAACACTAACTGCAGGATAAAATGAAGAATTTCAAGCTGTCTGCTGCAGAGCACGGAAACGCGAGCACAGGGAGCCGAGCAGGCCCACGCGTTTGCCAGGCGGCGGGTTCTGCACGCATCCTTCAAAGCTCTGTTCTAGGTGACCTCCTTCGTTCCTATCATGGACGAATCTTGCCCGGTATGTGCTAACTGGCCAGCTAGTAATGAGTACAGAAAACTGGTTTGTTAGCATCGATCGAGTTGTTCTGTAGCCACCGTTTCGGAGACACTAATAGTTTTGGTGTCAGTTCTCTTGGGCTTGCTACATAGAGAAAGCCCTTAGAAGTAACAGCTACCACGCACCTGCTCTAGGTCATGCTACCCCGGCAGCCACCTCCTGAATCGGGACCTGCTGTTCCCTCCATTTCACAGCAGAGGTGTCTGGAATGGGAGGGATTTGTCCAAAGAGCTCATAGAAGAGACAGAGCCAAATCCAAAACCAAATCCAGCCTTTTTATTCCAAAGCGACCGTCCTCCCCGCCCGGCTACTCTCTCGGCTCCACTGGACCGACTCCTTCCTTCCTTTACTTTTGTTTTTTTTTTTAATTTTGTTTGTTTTTGGCTTTTCTTCGGTACCGGGAACCGAACTCACGACCTTGCACTTGCCAGGCAGGCGCTTTGCCGCTGAGCTAAATCCCCAGCCCCCTTTACTTTTGTTTGAGGACTGAGTCCCTTCGGGGGAACTCCCAGAACACTAACTGTGGGGACAGCAAATACTGTAGCTCTGTCTCCATTCTGAATTTTAACTGAGAAAATCTCCTGTTAAGATGGCTGTACCTTTGTAATGTGAGAATATTAGTAATGTTGTGTACTCCTCTAGCAAAGACTCTGAACCAATCTATTTGGAAGAGGGATGGATCATGAGACTTTATTGATAAGGCTTCCTTCCCAAAGGTGTATTCCAACCACATTTACAGTACAGAAAATATCACACTTCCTTGCTGAGAAACAGAAACTGGCCGTTGTGTCGATGCTGATTTAGGAGAAATATAAGCCTGCTACCTGAGGCAGGTCCGCATCTGAAGAATTTGATCAACACGAGATCTACAAAACCTCAATTCAACAACCTACTTTAAAGATGGGTAAGAAACCCAGAGGTCGGCTTTTGTGACAGGCTGATAGGTATTTTCTTCTTCTTTTTGAGATGGGGTCTTGTTAGTCATCCAGGCCGATCTTGAACTTGCATTGCAGCCCAGGCTGGCCTTGAACTTGAAACCCTCTGGCCTCGGCCTCCTGAGTGCTGGGGTTACAGGTGTGCACCACCACAGCTGGCTGATACGCATATTTTATTAAATGAACATCATGTACAACTAAGAGCACTGTACTTCCAGAGAAATTAAGACTATGTATACCTGGATTAGCACCTAGAAAAGTACATAGAAAATAGGAAGAAAGAAGGGAAAGGCTACTGAGATCATTTGGGCAGAGGTTATTCCAAGAAGAGTCTCGCCAGAGCTAGACCATAACGCATCACCTTCCACAGGCGCTCAGTGACCAGCTGGCCCGCTGCTTCGGGTCTGCGGCGCTTTATGACAGAAGCGCTGCGCCAGCAGATTTTATGTGTAAACGGAAATGAAGGGTGTCATGTTTTATGCCCACCCCAGTGTTTTTTTTTGTCTTTTTGAGACATTTTACTATGCAGTTCAGGCTGGCCTTGAACTCACTTTGTAGCCCAGGCTGGCCTCAAACTTGCAGTGATCCTCCTGCATGCTGGCATTACAGGTGTGCACCACCATGCCCAGCCCCACCCTAGTTTTCTTCCACAGTTATTTCACTGCACGGTGTGGTGTACTCTTAGGAGATGCTGGGAAAGCACTGCTTGAGGATGCGCCATTGTTCAAGAAGTGGGCCTGGGACAATCCCCCATAATCCACAAGCACGCTGACAGCCGCAGAAGTCACGGACGGGTACGGCTGCGTTATGCAAAGCTTCCCCGGGACTAGGAAAGGCTGTGCACTGCATGAGGCTTGCTTACTATGATGCTGTGCCCGAAGCTGCTGCCCTCATCCCAGGGCCAGACCAGGACCTGGCCCTGAAATTCCCGTAACTAGTGGGCTCGGAGCCGGGCGAGGCACTGTGGAAACGGTCCCGCATTTGGAGAGAATGTGTAGATTTGTCTGAGTGGGGCAAGCTGAGTAAAAAGGCGAACACCAGCGTACCTCATTTTTAACTCAAAAAACTACCACACGAAATGCCATGCCATTCTTTTTTCCTTTTACATATTTACAACTGTACATATTTACTTAGCAATATATCCTCTGTCTTTACACTTACAAAATTATTTCAAATGTGGGACAGTGGCAACTCTGGATTCCATTCAGCACACACTCTGTGGCATTACTTGTTTTCTCCTTTAGAAGGCAGTCACTTACCCCAAACTAAACCACAGTGAATGCCTCACAGGGAAATCATGGAGGAGAAAGAATATTTAACCAGAACTTTCACATAAGCCTTAGATGAATCTGTTTTAGTAACTCAAATAAATAGTATTTATTATTTACTAAGCTCCCCCTGCCAGGAAAAAAGAAACAAAACAAACGAAACCACCCCCAGCAACTGTACCTTAAAATACTCTGACACTCGTCAGCAATTAAGTTAGGTTCCAGGCCCCATCGGAGGCCGTGGGAAGGGCTGCCTGCAAGTCAGGCTCCTGTCAGTGCTCCCCGGAAGCTCTGTCATCCTGCGTACACCTGCGGCTGAAGTGGCGGGGGGAGCTTGTCATTCTCTACGTTTTCAGAGTCTATCGCGGCTAATGGCTGGGCTGCAGGCTTAATTTCAAGTGGATATTTTTCAACAATGTCTTGCACCTCCTTTGCGATTCCGTCTGTCCAATCTATTAGGTCTTTTTCAAGTTTCTTGGCTTCGTTCATGATCCTTTCCTGCCGCTCATTCAACTGAGACAGTAGATCCAAGTTCTTATACATCTGTTTAACGCCTAAGCACGCGTCTGGAGACCAGCTCTCGGATTCCTGCTTCCTGGGAGAGGTCTGGCCAGACATGTAGCGATCAAAATCCTCCTGACTTAAATTCAGAGACTGGGCATCTAATTTCTCAATGAAAGCCACAGCACAGCACTGCAGAGAGAAGAGAATGTTGTTAGTCAGCCACAAGTACTGAAATCATTTTTTTAAACTTATTTTTTAGGAGCCAAGGATATAGCTCAGCAGCATAAGCGCCTGCCTGGCAAGCACAAGGTCCTGAGTTCGATTCCTGGTACCAACAAAAAAAACCTTATTTTTCAGTACTGCAGACTGAACCTAGGGCTTTTGCACTCCCTGGTTCTTTTTTTAAAAAATTTTTTATTTTGATGGGGGCCTTACTAAGTCACTAAGTTGCCCAGGCACTTAAACTTGTGATCCTCTTGCGTCAGCCTTCCAGAGTGCTGGGACTATAGGCATGCATCACCATGCCCAGCTTCAAATAGATTTTCTTCCCTTTGGTACCAGGAATCAAACTCAAGACCAGGACCTTGCGCTTGCCAGGCAGGTGCTGTGCCGCTGAGCTAACTCCTGGCCCTAGATTTTTTTTTTCAAATAGATTTTCAAAAATCTTTTTGTTATGGAGAACTTAAAATAGCAAAAGTATGCAAACAGTAATGAGTCTCCTGTCCTTCAGCTTGAAAAATCACCAACTCATAGTCAGTCCCGTTTCCCTTACACACACCCCAGTCACTCAGGGCTGGGCATCTGGGTGTCCCCTCCGAGGGCTCCATAAAGCCAGCCCTCAGAGCCGCCAGACGCACGCCCATCAGAGCACCAGAGCCAGTGGGTGTGGATCCTCCAGGGCACGTGGGCCGCTGGTCCACAAGAGATATTTTATCAAGTGGTCAAAGTAAAACTTCGAAATGAGACCACCTGAGTGTCACCTTTGTCATTTAACAGCAACAGTGTGTGACCTTCTGGGACAGTCACCTGAACTACGTACAATGCTGCTTCTGAATCTGTAAAGTGGGGGAAATACCAGCCAGCTATGCGGTGAGAAGGGACCGACACAGCCCACACAGCCACAAACACCGCCTGCTGGTGCGCGCCTGCTAAGCAGACACCTGCAGGCTACGAGTCACACTGAAACAGCGTCACAGGGGAACACGGAAGTGAAAAGGGTCGCCAGGCAGCTCCAAGGGGCCTGAGACTTGTTCCCAAGAGCCTAGGCTGTTGCTCCCAGGCGGAGCCCATCCTCTCCTGCAGCCCGTACACCGCGGCCCTGTGGCCCCGGAGGCTGCCCGGCTGCCCCGGTGTGTGGGGACCATGCAGCCTGGCTGCCTGGGGAGAGGCGACCTCACGCGACTCTGACACTCTGGACAGCAACAGGACTCCACAGAGCTCCCTGGCGGTGAGGGCGCAGTTTCAGTTTAGAGTAAATTAAGTCTGAGGCCCAACAGACACCGTGGCATAGTGCGGCTCCCGCCCTGTGGGCCCTCACTGCCACCGCACGGGTGACGGCACAACTGCGGCGCACGAGGTGAGCAGCGAGACGCACAGCACAGGGCACCAAGGGACTGACGCTGGGGGAGAGAAGTGGTAAAGAGATGGGACTGTGGGAGCCAAGGGCCAAGCGGAGCTCCGCAACAGAGGACCCAGGCGCACTGAGCAGAGAGTAAGACTTCTACAAAGGACCACAGTGCGGAACCGCTGATTCATGGCTGAGAGCTTAGCTAAAAGAAGGCCTCGCCAGGCATGGTGGTGTACGCCTGGAATCCCAGCACTTGGAGGCTGGGGCAGGAGGATCGCAGTGAGTTTGAGGCCAGCCTGGGCTACATAGAAAGTTCAGGACCAGCCTGAACTACATAGTGAGACTCTGCCTCAAAAAAAAAAAAGAAGGCCTCTCCTGTGGAGATGGTGCTTCTTCTCCAAAAGCCACATGGCCTCTGGCCAAGTGCTGGGTGGTGGAGAACCTGCGTGACCCGGTTACTCGCGCTCTGTGACACAAAGCACGCATCCCAGCCGTGCTGGCTCCAGCCTCAGGAGCACTAAACTGCCCTCACGGCCCTCAGAAAGCTGGCGTGTTGGAACATGCCTGTGATCCCAGCACGCAGGAGGCTGATGCAGGAGGCTAACCTTGAGTTCAAGGCCAGTCTGAACTACATAGTGAGATCTTATCTCAAAATAAACCCCCAAATCAGTCAGTCAGTCAGTCAACCCTCTCTGTGAGCCCAGCTTCAGCCCTACCAGATTGGTGAAGTAGTAGCCGTCCTCCCCGGTCATCAGCCGGCTTGGGTTGCAGAAGCGAGTGATGTACTGGATGTTGGACTGCAGGCGAGGCGGGTTGCCCTTCAGCACGATGTAGATGAGCGTGGGCAGGAAGTCGTCGGCGGACGCCGGCTCGTTCTTGGTGATCTTGATGGCGTTGAAGATGTGCTTGCTGCACCTGGTGATGCAGGCCAGCTTGTCTCGGGGCACGCGCTTCGAGTCCATCTCGATGATATCTGTGAGGGAAGGGGGTCCCCCATGCGAAACGGTCAGTGAAAGCAGCAACAGGATGAGCACATCCGCCTACCAAGGTGACAGAGGCGCCCTCACGAAGCAGCGGTTACGGAGGCCGTGGGGGCGCTGGCCCCGGGCCGGTTGGTGACTTTCTCACTCACAGGACGCTTAACCTCGAGCCAGGCCTGATGCAGCCTGCACTGCACGTGCCTTTTCTCATCAGAAGCTCATGCAGTGAAGACTATCATTACCCACCTCACAGACGAGGAGGTAGAAGCTGAGAGCGGCCAAGTGACAGCCACAATCACACGGAGCAGGTGACAGCAGCGAGGATTTGAAACCACATTTGACTCTAAACACAGGCTCCGAATCACAAAGGGACAGCTTCTGAGCTTGGCGGCAAAGGGAGAAGTGGCCGTGAGTGGCCTTCCGCCTCACGCCGCCTGCTGTGTGTAGAAAGTCTCTCCACACCGCCTACAGCTTGTTCTCGCTCAGAAATGGATCTGAGGAGCCGATGAGGGGACACAGGGTGGCTGGGGAACAGGGACCGAGACCCAGATGGAGGACGAGGTGCTGGCGTGTGCGGTCCAGCAGGGCCGGTGGCCATTCACTCCGGGGCTGGAGTACTGTAAGTGTACTGGGCTCCGGGGCAGAGGCGGGTGAGTCTGCAAACACACAGGGACGCCAAGGGGAGGGAAATGCTGTCACCCCGCTTTCCCCGTGGGCTGTGTGCATGTGTGGAAAGAACACAGGGATACCATGCGTACCTACGATGAACACACACTGATAAAAAAGTAACATGAACAGCCATGTGGCTCCCATGCAAAACATTTTTTTTTATTATTTTTTTTTTTTTTTTTTTTTTTTTTTTTTTTTTTTTTTTTTTTTTTTTTTTTTTTTTTTTTTTTTTTTTCTCCGGTACCGGGAACCGAACTCACGACCTTGCGCTTGCCAGGCAGGCGCTTTGCCGCTGAGCTAAATCCCCAGCCCCTGCAAAACATTTTTGTACTGGAGATCAGGACGCAGGCACTGCACTCCAGCACACCGGGGTCTGCAGTGGCCAGTCCTCGCAGGATGGACATCTCCACAGGATGCATATGACACGTGTCACTTGCTTCCAGCAGAGGGATAATGTGAGGGTATATGTCTACCCCAGAGAGCAGTTTAGTTCTCAGAGAGAACACTCACGGCCTTTGCCTACCGCTAAGTCCAACCAGGACACCGCGGAGCCTCTGCCAAAGCCCAGGAGATTTGGAGAGGACAAGCAGCAGGCGTCTCGGGGTCGGGGGAGCCTGTGACTGCGTGTGAGCTCAGCAGCCGGGGCATCACGGAGAGGGCAGGAGGACGGCAGGCATGCGCCACTGGCAGGAGGAAGCAGTTGGGCCCAGGCCAGGTTCTGGGGCACACCGGCCGATCTGCCCTGAGCTGTGTCTAGGGTGGCCACCTGGGGACCTCGGGGTCACAGCCTCGGAGACGAATGGGTGCAGGAGACAGAGGAGGGGAACGGACGCACTTGCCAGGGCAGGCAGAGGCCTCGGTGGGCTGACTTGGGCTTTCAGTCTCCCTACTACTGTGGCAATGACAGGACTTTTGGTCACTTTAATCTTCTCATTCTGGGTTCTAACTGTTGTTATTATGCCTTAGTGCATTTACTCTGTTCTGCTTAAATAGAATTTATTATGAAAAAAGAACTGGATGAGTAGGAAGAGTTTTTCTGCCCTTTTTACTACTTTCAGTTATCCTCCGTAGTTCTCCACTTTGTACTGCTGATTTTTAGCCTCGAAACTGTGTGTGTGTATGTGTGTGTGAGAGAGAGAGAGAGAGAGAGGCTCTGGGCATGCTAAGCAGCACTGTGTCACGAGCTACACACCCCTGCCCTACTTAAACCTGCACCACTTTTTCACTCATCTTTTCTCAATTCCTTCTTATCTGGGCGTGTGTGGCCGCTCATCCCTGGGGCAGGGCTTCCTGTAACAGGGAAGAGAGCAGAAGAGGAGACCGAAGGAAGCAAGTGCCCAGCGTCTCTCCCACAGCCTTCCTCCTGTGAGGCCCTGGGAGCAGCTGCTCTTAGTCATTCTGGATGCGCGCTGGGGAATGCAGCGTTGCAGCTTGCACTGCCCCCGACGCTAGGTGATGAGGGAGGACGAGCCAGTAACAGGAAACTCACTGCTCCAGGAGCTGTTCTCTAAGTAACCATTTCCCTCTCTAATCTGCTTATTTCTCCCCAGAGGCTACAGATAATCACCTTATGTCTCCTATCCAAGGCTTTCACTTATCATCAGGAGGAGAGATGGGCAGATGTGCGCTACCTCAGCTGCCCTAGGCTTGCCCTTAATGGAGCTCTGAATCCCGACTCCACGCGGCCCAGGCACGGCCTTCGCCCGCAGCGCTCTCTGCACACTTGCGCAGGGGGCTGCAGACCCGGCTGCGGAGGGCTGCGCTGCACACTATAGCATGCTCAGTGCCCACGGGATGCCAGTCCGACCTTCACGGCACACTCAGCAGCACCTCCAGCGAGGGCCTAGGAGCCTCGCTCATGAGTGAAGAGCAGGTGCTGGGGCCTCACCTCCAGGTGCTGCCAAATGCTATCGGGGGGCAACCGGTGGCTGGCTGAAAACCTTGCCTGGGTGGAGGCCCCCTTGGCTAAGCAGATACTCTAACAGGTGGAGCTAAACAAGAAAGGGCAAATGTTGCCATCAACTACAGGCCTTGACACTCGCCTCGTACCCGACTCTTGGAGCTAAGAGAAGCTGAGGACGGGTTTCTCAGATTCCTTGTTATCTTTTTTCCTTCCTTTTGGAATTACTGGGGACTGAACTCAGGGCTTTGTATTCAGCTACATCCTTAGCTCTTTATTAATTTTACCTTGAGACAGGGTCTTGCTAAGTTATCCAGGCTGGGCTCAAACTTGCATCCTCTTGCCTCAGCTTCCCAGAGTGCTGGGATGACACGTGCGTACCATTATCCCTGGCTCAAAAATATGTATTTTTATATTTTAGAATTTCTGTCCTCTAACCACCAGAGGAAAAATGTGGGGGAGGACTGGCCACTTCTCTGTGACTTCAGGGCACCAGGTGATCTGCGGTAACTGCTGCGGCCCCTGCTCCCGCATACTGTCCGCTCAACTGTCTCCCAATCTTCATCCACTGTGCGCCTCCCACAATGAAGACAGTCATTTTGGAAGCCTCAAATTCCAAGACTGGAACCAAGGGCAAACAGGATTCCACTCTTCTCATGGATTATTCCTTTAGAGAGATGTCAACTGAGACGCAGAAGGCCTCGTTTAGCATTATCTACAAAGAAGGCCGACTGCTGGAGACCTGAACCTAAAACCTTCACACTGAGGACTGCCGTTGTCGGCTGCTGTCCTCTCTGACCGCTCTGTACACAGGCAAACGATTTTAGGTCAGAGAGAAAGCGGCCGTGCAACTTGCAGTCTTCACAGACACAGATCCTGTCCATACTTGGCCTGACCGACACAGGGATGAAGATGGGAGAGAAAGACAAGATGGCTTTTACATTTTTGTTGCCGACGTTTTGCTATCGAAAGACTTTCTGAACCACAAAGGCAAATTACTTGAGAACAAAGTTTCACCTCTCAAAATATATTAACAAACTGATATAATGCAACTCTTTTTTGCTTACATTTTAAAGTAAACAATGGTTTGGCACTTGTCATTTCTGGTTTCATGAGATCTGTCGTGTGATTTTCAGAAAGAGGTCCCCAACATAAACTCCTGAGGGATACTGTAAATATAAACAGTTCAGTCTTGAACTTTTTATTAACTATGGGGGGGGGGGACCCACACACATGCACAGGTTCAAAGTCACTATCCAGGCTTTTGGACATCCCCACCCCAAATCTCTTATAGAGGCCCTGGTCAAAAGATAGGGAAGGGTTTTGATTCAAGTAACTCAGCTCACAGGGTTTGTGGTAGACTTGTAGAAAAGCTTGGAGGAATAAAGATGACAGCAGTCAGCTAGGACAATTAGACTATCTTCAGAAACTGCACGGGAAATTATAAAGAAAAATTTACTTCCTAACAGAAGTTGAAGTGTGAGGACATACAAAGAGAAGCAGAACCTGCCCATGTGGAAGAATCACTCCAGGAAACAGCAGACCTAGGGCGAAGACCTGCTAAGCCCATCCTCCCGGAGTTCTGCGCAAGTCCGGCCTCCTTTGCAGAGCTGCTAACACGCAGCTCATCTGGACCCCTAAGACCCGCACTCCTCCCTGCAGCTCGGCGAGCCCCTGGGGCTGACAAGCCCAGGCACCTTCCTCACAGCCTGCTTCCAAGCTGCTAACACAGCTGGCCCCTCCCCTCGCAGGCAATTTCATTTGGCATGTCTAACAGAGCCAGCCTTTCCAATTCCTCTCCCTAGTTAAGGGGAAGGGGCCAAGGGTGGTTATCCTCGACATTAGGCATTTTTAACCTTCTCTGTTGAACTGCTGCTGGCCTTTCCTATGAATGAGACACAGAAACCTTACTAGGAGCCCGTCCCTGTCCAGAATGGCAAAGGCACAGGAATTTGTGCTACTTCGTTTATTTCTTGATCAAACCAGAAAAAATAAGCCAAAGCACACTTCCACTTCTGACAGACAACCCGTCAGCGGCATCGTGGTAGTGTCTTTCTGGTTTAGGAACGACTGGCCTTGCTAGTTTCCTTCCTGTCCCCAAATATTTTGAATATGCAAATGTGACCGAGTCTTCAGAAATTCACTTTGGTTGGATTTGACCTTAGTCTAGTTCACTGCTAAAAAACTGGGACGCTGATCACTAAAAATGAAGGGGAAAAGGAGTTTACCTGCTATTCTGAGTGCATCCCACTCATTAAACTGACCCCGTGCAAATCACTTCTAGTACACTCCCACGTCCCTGGGCCATCTGCAGTGTGGAAATATTTAATGACTTTGTGCTCAGTAACACCAACTAATAAAATGTTAACCTCAGGGGGAAAGTATCCAAGTACCAAATCTCTCAGTTTCACTGACCTGTGATCGCTTTCACCACCATATCAGAAACTTCTGGAATTTCTTCATTAACAGGGACACAAAGCATCTGAGGTGTGACCCAGTGCAGCGCCCTGCAGAGAGAGGAACAGTAAAGGGGAGTTCCTGGGACAGACTTCGGCCCTTTATCCTGTCATCGCCTTCAGCTGAGGGAAAACGGGGGCCATCAGCAGGCAATCCCCGGTCCCACCACCCAAGTCCCGCACCGATTGAGACAAAGTAGCTAGAACCCTAAAGTAAGACTCTTCTCATCTTCCACAAGAACAGAAGATGGTTTCACTGGCTGAAAGCAGAAGCGAGGTGAGGGGGCACACGCCTGTCACCCCAGCCCTCTGGGAGACTGCGGCAGGATTGCAAGTTCAAGTCCTGCCTGGACAATTTAGCAATTTAGTGAGGTCCAGTCTCTAAATTAAAACACAAAAAGAAGGACTGGGAGTGCAGTTCAGTACATGGGTTCAATCCTCAGCAGCACCAAAACAACAAAACAAAACAAAAACAAGCAGGAGATTTTGCGGCCAAGCCTGAGAAGCAGTCCATGTGGAAGGTCTCGCCGGGTACCACTGCCGCCTTTCTGGGGACATGGAGCCATGTGGGAGCCGGGAGGCACACGGCCCCTGGGCTTGAACCGCGGCAGGCTTCCAGGTCGCGCCCAACCTCACGGCATGTGCCTTGCTCGCGCTGCTCTCCCCAGCACCTCGCCGGCCCCCACTATTACTTCCTGCTCCTCCCTCAGGCTCCGCCGCCCACTCGTCACTTTCTGTGGCACAGGTCCCAGGACAGACAGACTGACCAACAGACCCTGGTCTGAGACCTCATGTCGGGTCCTGGGCCCCTGTCCTCCGCAGACCCGCCTCAGACCGGGGCCCACCCCCCAAGGTGGCCGGTCCTAGGTGTCCCAATGTCACCGGAATGTGAGTGCAGGTTCCCACTCTGCGGCCCCGGAAGGCTGGGCACCGGTGAGAGCAGAGACCGGAGGGATGGCTGAATAGTAACACGTATTCTGCCCTGTGGGCGGAAGGAGGGAGTATCACTGCGCTGATGTGGCAGCCCCAGCCTCCTGCCCGATGGGCAGTACAAGGAGACATGGAAACCAGTCCTCCTGTCTCTTGGCTATTCTGGAGATTTGCAACAATCTCAAACACCAAACACGGTTCTTAGCTGAAGCTGCCTAGGGTCAGATGGGTAAGCAGGATGATCCAGACCCTCTCTTCCGGATGGCACGGAGGGCCTGCATGTCAGGCATGGCGGGCAGTTTCGCTCTTACTGTCCCGCAGGGTCTGAAAGTCAAGGTGCTTGTTTTCCCACTGTATGTTCCTCCATGATAGGGAGTAAATATATGACAAAGCAAAACAATGACCTGATCCTCTTTTGAATGGCAAGATCTTTCTTCTCATCATCGGTAGTTTCTGGACAGAACACGTATTTATAGAGACGAGTCATAATGTACTTTTCAATTTGATCCATTATCTTCTCAACTTTTTCTGAAGGCACTGAAATACACAAATGGATGTAAAGCTCAAGAGAAGGACAGACATTTTAAATAAAGAGCAAGTCTTCAGAGTACTTTCAACATAGCAGAAAACTAACTTATTAGTACGCTTACTAGTTTACTAGAAATACAAAGGTGATGAAAATATATGGAGAATATTACATTAAAATACTTATTATAGTAAAAGACACATTGCCACTAATGCCGCTCAAAATACTTCTTGCTTCATACACACTTATCCTGTCATTCTTGCCCCTTTCTGAAGCAGTTCTGCAAGTCCTCTTTCATGAGGGTCTTTTGAGATGTGATCAAAAGCACAGTGACTCTTGCTGCCAAGTGCCATCCAGTGGAAAGGTGGGCTCGTAAAGGCATGAGGTGCACCCCCATCCCCCGGACCTGGCACTCTGTGACTCCTGGCTCCTCCTCCAAGTCCAAGTGATCACAGGAGCTTCACACTTTGAATTGAGGACATCGGGGCAGCCACAGCAGCACAACTGACAGGAAAGAGGGTTTCCAGAAGTGCTTCAGAAAGGGGTAGGAATGACAGCATGTGTGTATGCAAAGCAAGGAATATTCTGAGGGGGATTAATGACAATGTACTTTTTTACTGTAATCAATTAATAAAGATTAACATTCACCATAAGTTTTGTTCATAGCTTGTATATGACACACACTCAGAAAAGAGTTCATCACTATTGAAAATATCCTTTAAAAAATTACCTCAACCTTTGAGACTAACTTTTCCAGCATCTCCACTTCCCCCGCAAGCAGTGTTAACAGACCTCACAGCGTATGTCTACCGAGTGGGAGGGCCTCAGTGTGGGCCTCCCTACTGCAACTCAGTAAAGCACGTGGAATCCCACGAATATTTGCACAGGCCCCTGTCATCTCTCTGAGGTTTACCGTAAAACCACAGAACTCTCTCCAAGGTACACAAATGGCACGATTTCTCAGAGACACACACATCGTAAGTACATCAGTGAAGTCAAATTCCAGAAGAATCTCTTAAACGCCAAAGCTTAAGTAGTGACTCTCCTTTCCCCCCACCCTGACCCTCTTGAGGGTTACATCGTCACGAACAATGACTCACCACGCTGCTGACTCCAAGAAGGGGGACTTGGTTAGAAAAGCTTCCCAAACGGTTTTAATCCATCTTACTTTCACCCACAACGCGGGTATTAAGCATTCCTATCAATAAGCTATCCAGCTGCTCTCATGATGCACACGGTGGCATTCAAAGGCACTGCCAAGCCTGAGCCCAGCTCCCGGAGCGTCAGCGGAGCGGCTTACAGCACGGTGTGGGAACCCCGCTGGGCCATCAGAAGAGGGGAAGGGCTAAGCGATGAGCAGTGGCCCGGCAGCTCCGAGTGACCCCACAGTGGCTGGCTGGCAAAGCATTACCTTTCCCGCGAGTCTGCATCTTCTCGGCTACATTCTGGTAAAAGTCCTGAGTACACTCCGACTGTTCCTCAATGCTTAGCTCCTAAAACGAGGCGGCAAAGAGGCTATCAGGTAGCTGAAGAAGGTCATGATTACAGCGCTGTATCTTAAGAAGTTCCAAAATCCACTCTTTGTATGGTTCTAACACTGACATACTTCCAAATTCTATTAATTCTGCAGCAAATACCTACCCATTCTTACTGCTAATGACCCTTTCATTTTTTGCCACATATATTCATACATATAATGCATATTTGAATAATGAATCTGCACTTAGCTAGTCTACTTAGCCATTTGTGATGGCTTTAAAAAATTCCATGACATTAACCAGTGTATGCAATCACCCTCAGCCACTGCGCGCTTGGGCCGCTCTTCCACTTCTTCACTTCAAGGCACTGCAGGCGCATGCAGTCTGCGCAGGCTGCTTTCCTCTGTCACCACCTTGTGCACGTGCTCATCCTCCACGGCCCCTGCAACACTGGACTTTATAATTTCCCTTTGGCTTTACTGATTTTATACTTGTAATTTATGTGATTCTTCCAAAAAATAAAGTCTATATAAGAAACCACCCTCCTCACCTCCCGCCTGCAGTTTAGCTGCTCTTTTCCCACACGCCCTGGAAGCTTGCTTTACCTCTCCCGCCTCTGGGCACTAGCAAGTTATTCTCTGTGCCGGCTACCTACATGCTACCGCCCTCCGCCAACTGCCCAAGGTGGCCCCTCGCTGACACCTTTAAGGCTCGGGTCACACTTCTCTTCCTCCAGGAAACTGTCCCTCACTCCCCTTGTCAAAATAACCTTGCCGGTTTCCAAGCACCTACAGTACCGGGTGCTCCCTCTGCCTGCAGCCGGATCGGCCGTCTACAAATGACACCTCGTTGACTCAGAATCGATTCCCCATCTGGAAAAGCTGAGGCACCTCAGGAAACGTACATATAGTGTCACATTAAGGTTTTCTTTGTATTCACAGTTTCCTATTTTGCGCCTTTCATTTTACCTGAGTTCTATTTTTCACTGCATAAACTTTTAAAGTTAATACCATTAAACCTTTTGCCTGATTATTAAAAACAGTGTAACAGATCACATTACCTACTCTGCACAGTTGAATTAGATATCCTAAGCTACTATCTTCGGGGCTTTCTCATGTTCTGTCTGTTGATCTGTCTGAAATGTAAGGTGCAAAATATGAAATACACACCTAAAATAATGTGCACACGCGCTTACTGGGCTCCTTCAGCAGCAAGCAGTAAAGAGCTCCGGGGCTCCCCTTGTTTCCCAGGTTGTCTTGCAGTTCACTCTGCAAAACTGATCCTATTTCCGGAATCCCTGTTTTATTTCACTCTGCTCTGTTTTTATTCTTTTACCAAAGCCTCATCTTGCTGTAATGAAACTTATTATATTTCAAAGTTTAGATTTAGAAGCTCCACTTCCTAAACTCCCCACCACCACACAAAAAACTCATACTTCTACCATTTTCTGTTTTCCTTTGGAATTTCCTAAGATAATTTCCCCCTGAATTTCCTGAAAGCTCTATTTCTAACCATTCTATTTTAAAAATTTCAACATTTTTATTAGTACATGCTTCTGGTATATAATGAATGCAATGTCAGTGGTCTATCCATTCGGAAAGCACTTACTACATGATTAGAGCTGCCAATGATACAAACATGCTCATAAAATGTTCATAGGGCTTTCAGTTTAAAGGAGAAGACAACTCAAATAATGATAATATTCTGCAATAATGAATAAGAAAGACCAATTGCGGTGGGCACACAGGAAACCTCTCACTGTTTTCTTTCTTTCCTTTTTTGAGAGTCTAACTCCTGGGCTCAAGTGGTCTTCCTACCTCAGCCCCCTCTCCCAGCCTGACTAGCTGCATCTGGGACTGCAGGTGCCACCACCACAGCTGCCTCTCCTGCTTTTGTCCCAGCTACCTGCACGGGGCACCTCTAGGTACCGGGGGGCAGCAGTGAGTGTCCTTGCTTCACACTTACATCTGCGTGACACAGCTGTGACATGATGCTTCCAGTGATGCCATGGGAACACTGTCCCAGTGGTGCTCTGTGGTGTGAACCCCAGCAGGGCACCGTGACCTATGAGCTGCCCTCGTTGCAGAAGCGGAGGGTCTCTGCGCAGGCTCGGTAGGTCAGTTACTGCCACACAAAAACTGAATTCCCCAGTTTCCACGAGACAGCAGCCTTTCACTTTCTATCCAGCTCCCATCTATGAACTGATTTAACACATTTATGTTCTAAATTCTCTGATTCACCTCTGCACTAAATTAGACCATCAGATAAACCTATCCAGCGGCTAAATAACTTTAGGTCCACTGGAAATATCTAGTTTAATATTACACTTGGCTGTCTACAGCCATACCACCCTGATGGGCCCGATCTTGTCTACTATTATGCCTGGCCTTTACAAAGGACATGTTTGTAAACTCTGAATATCAAATTATCACCCTGTTCTCTTATTATAATCATTCTGCAAACCTTCTTAAATCCTTTCAATAAACAAAGTAGGTTTAAATAAACAAAAAGACTACTCTTATGGGACTTATGAATTTTTTTTTTTTGATACAGGGTCACGCTGGCCTTGAATGCACTATGTAGCCCAGGCTGGCCTTGAACTTGCAGCAACCCTCTTACCTCAGCCTTCTAAGTGTTGGAATTATAGGCATGCACCCCGACACCCGGCTGGGATGGATTTTTGTTAACATTAAATCAGTAAGTCTAATTTTATTTTGAATAGGGAAGACTAAACATTGCAACTGTGATAACTGAATTTCCCTTTATGATGCTATCATTTAACCTGCTATTCTTTTAGTGTATGTCCTTTCTATAACAGGTTATTTACTTTAATCTATTGAGGTAGTTTATACATTATTACTTTTCACTTGCACCAAACTTTAACACTTAACCAGGAACAAACTATATTCATTTTTAGGATTATTACTAGTACTCACTTCTAACGAGACATACTGTGAATTTCTTTGTCTTTTTTTGAGACAGGGTCTTGATCTGCAGTTCAGGCTGGCCTTGAGCTCACTCTGTAGCCCTGGCTGGTCTTGAACTTGCAGCAATTCTCCTGCCTCAGCCTCCCTAGTGCTGGGATTACAGGTGTGCGCCACCACGCCCAGCGACACTGTGAATTTCTGTTAAAGACCTAAGCAGTCTATGTTTCTGGTAACAAAGGGTCACCTTCTCTCCCAGCTCCAGAGTGTAATTTTAGGTTACACTTCAGAAACCTTTGTCTAACAGATCTGTTTCTTGTTCACTTCCCACCAAAACCTTAGCTCACTACCATATGGTTAGCGCTCAGTATTAGCTGAGTGAAAGAAGGAATAAATGTGACCACTGCTTATCACTCCTCCATTTGTAATATTATAAAGGTGTTGGAAGAGATTCTCCATGGTCTCTCACACTTCTGCACATCTTGTGAGCAGAGGCCATGACAGCCTTTGTTCTATACTACCTTTCCAAGGATATTTAAACAGCAAACAGTTGCGAGAAAGTGGTATTGCCTCTCTCAAGAGAAAATGACTGTTTACTGTATAATATTTTCTTTGGAGCTGAGGTCAGGCTGACTCACTGTCCATTATTAAAGATTCAGAATGTTATGTCCAAGGTTACTCTAACACAGCTCACTGCATGCACAAACACTGCCTGTGAGAACTGATACTCAGAACTTGCGCATACGCTGACAGTTTGGTTTCTGCTATTGCTATAATACACTGGCCTTTTGTGTCTGACCCAGGAGACTTCTGTCTTCTGCCAGCATCCATGGAGCTTTGCAGGCTACCTCGTTAGGCAGCAAGGCAAACCTCAGACCTTTCTCACAGTTCTTGTCAAAAGAGCTAAGTTACAGCTCGCTTCTGTTCTTAAGTTCTTTTAGGTTCCACAAAATTCCAAACGATTGTTCATATTTACCAAGAAAAATGGTCTAGCAGTACAAATGAACTGTTTTCCTCAAATATTCACTATCACTTGGGATCACCTTTTTCTAGAATGACTCAGTCAAAAGTCATCTTTTTCCTAAAATTTGTTTCTTTGTAGTTTAAAACATGGACACCTGGGTAACTCTCTTACAATACAAGAGAGATATTCTTCACTGTAACTATCTGGCTAAAGCCCTTTTTTCCATCTCATTTTAAAAACCTTGACTACTTCATTAATTATTAGAACTTAGTATCTCCATGATCTGTTTTCTGGGCTCATTAAGTTTCCTTTGCACTGCCACTGTTTAATTGATTTGGATTTTAGCTCTGATGTGTTTTTTTCTTGGTAGTGCATGCAGTCAAACCTGCAGTCTCACACGTTAGGCAAGCACTCTACCAGTGAGCTGTACCACTAGCCGGTTATGGCCTGTACTTAGATGTCCCCCCAAAGCTTCATGTGCTCATAGATGGGGCTTTTTGGGAGCTGGCTGGATCTAGGGCATGTGCTACTGGAATTAAGGGTGTGTGGTACTACATTAGCCTACTAGTTGAAATTAGCATAGTTCTGGGTGACACTATCCAAAAGGCTGGTAGCCTGGCTGGGGTAAAAGGGAAAGGCAGGCTGGCTTCTTGCTGCTTCTGCCCACCACACCATGAACTGTTTCACCACTGCAATGGCCCTCTGCCATGCTGAGCTGCCTTGAAGCCAGCCAGTTATGGGCTGAAGCCTCTACAAACTGTGAGCTAAATAAACCTTTCCTCCTTTAACTTGTGGGTGTCAGGAATTTTGTCTCAGCCACAAGAAAAGTAAGCAAGACAGATTTTTGGTACTGAGAGTGGGGTTGCTGCTGTGACTACCTGACCATGTGGTTCAGAAGCCTTTGGAACTAAATGGCTTTCAGGAAGAGTTTGGAAAAGTTTGGAGATGGCGGCTTAAAAACAAAAATAGAGCTGGAACGCATGAGGCTGTACTTGATGGTAGATTCAAAGCTACCATCAAAGCTCAGAAAACCAGAATGCTGATAAAAATGCTGCTGATAAAGACCAGGTTCAGTAGGTTTCAGTTAGGAACAAGAACTGCATTGGCTGTTGGACTCCAGATCACAT